TGCTCCCTCCCCGCGTCGCCAGGGCTCTGAGCTGCGCCCGTCTCTCCCTGCAGCTGGAGGAGGGCCGTGAAGCGGCGCCGGCTGCAGAAGCGGCGCGAGGCCCTGGCCCGCCGGCTGCCCCTGGCCGTGCCGCACTTCGCGGCAGCGCTGCTGCACATCTCGAGGTGCGCGTGCTGCCCTGCGCTGCCCTGCCCTGCGCTGCACTGCCCCGCGCTGCACTGCCCCACACCGCGCTGCCCTGCACTGCACTGCCCCACACTGCACTGTGCTGCACTGCCCCACACTGCGCTGCCCTGCACTGCCCTGCCCTGCATTGCACTGCCCCACACTGCGCTGTGCTGCACTGCCCCACACTGCGCTGCGCTGCACTGCCCCACACTGCGCTGCCCTGCACTGCCCCACACTGCACTGTGCTGCACTGCCCCACACTGCCCTGCGCTGCGCTGCCCTGCACTGCCCCGCACTGCGCTGCACTGCCCTGCACTGCCCCATACTGCACTGTGCTGCACTGCCCCACACTGCCCTGCCCCACACTGCACTGTCCTGCCCTGCACTGCCCTGCCCTGCATTGCACTGCCCCACACTGCGCTGCGCTGCCCTGCACTGCCCCATACTGCACTGTGCTGTGCTGCACTATCCTGCACTGCACTGCACTTCCCTGCCCTGTGTTGTGCTGCCCTGCCCCACACTGCACTGCCCCGCGCTGCACTGCCCCATACTGCTCTGCACTGCCCCACACTGCCCTGCCCTGCCCTGCAGAGCCCTGCACCGTCCCATACTTCACTGCAGTGCCCTGCACTGCCCTACACCGCCCTGCACTGCCCCACACTGCCCTGCAGTGCCGCGCGCTGCCCGCCCGCCCCGGGCCGCAGCAGGCGCAGGGCTCCTCGCGCAGCCTGCCTCCTCCCCATCCTCCTCCTCCTCGCCCGTCCCCGGCCGTCTCCCCGCAGGCTGCTGCAGGAGCTGCGCGCCGTGCACTGGCTGCCGCAGGACGCCGCCGCGTGCCTCTCCTTCCCCGCGCTGCAGCTGCGGCTCGCGCAGGAGAGCAGCCGGGCCCAGCGCCTGCTCCGCAGGTTCTTGCTCCTCTGCTCATCCATCCTGGAGCTGGTAAGCGCCAGCCGGCGCCCTGGGGTGAGCGGSGTGCTCCCCCCGTGCTCCCCATAACCTGTAAGGGTGCGGGGCACCTCCTTTCTCGGAGGTGAGGTCCACAGAGTCAGGGTGGACATTTGGTGTCTGTGGGCTCTGCCTCCAGTGTGCCTRGTGTTTAAGGAAAGAGGTGTTTAGCGAGCTGCTCCGCTGTCTCCTCTGCTCCCCCTTTTCCCCAGTCGCTGCAGAGAGCTCGAACCCCTTTGGGTCTCTCCGGTGGTGCGGGGTTCAAATACGGAGCGGGGGGTTCCCCTCAGGGTGCTTGGTAGGAAGGTGCCTCCCAAGCGCGTCCCGTTCGCTGCCCGCAGGTGC